GAAATAAATGAAATTGAAACAAACACAAAAAAACAGTAGAAAGGATCAATGAAACGAAGAGCAGGCTCTTTGAGAAGAGAAACAAAATTGACAAGCCCTTAGGCAGATTCACTAACACAAAAAAGAGAGAAGGCTCAAATAAATAAAATTAGAATTGAAAGAGGAGAAATTACAACAGATACCACAGAAATACAAAGAATTATAAGAGAATACTATGAAAAACTATATGCCAACAAATTGGATAACCTGTAGGAAATGGATAAATTCTTAGACTCATACAGCCTCCCAAAAGTGAATCAAGAAGAATTAGAGAATCTGTGTAGACCGATCACAAGTAAAGAGATTGAACCAGAATCAAAAACCTTTTAAAAAACAAAAGTCTAGGACCAGATGGCTTCTCTGGAGAATTCTACCAAACATTCCAAGAAGATTTAATACCTATCCTTCTCAAACTATTCCAAAAAATAGAACAAGATGGAATGCTTCCTAACTCATTCTTTGAGGCCAACATCACCCTGATCTCAAAACTAGACAAGGACAACACAAAGAAGGAAAATTACAGGCCAATATTGCTGATGAACATAGATGCAAAAATCCTCAGTAAAATATTGGAAAACTGAATATAGCATGACTTAACATAAGTATCGCCATGTTTGTCTGCTTGGTGACCCTAGGAAATCTGCCACACTAAAAGAATATAGAACAGCTGCTTGTGGTGGGAACCGGCCTTTCTCCCACAATACTAGCTGCAATTATTTAGGTTATAAATCTTGTGGGATGTCAAGGACAGGCACAGACTGGCCATCTGTGCCGGTCTGAGATAAGTACTGGGAGTTACAGTGCACGTACACATGTGATAACAGTGAGAAGGAAAAATACCAAAAGTTCCCATAGAGATGGTCTCTAAGTAAAAACATACATAAAAGCCACTCACAATTCTGCTTGGGCGAGAGTCTCGCCTGTGCGGGGGATGCGCTACCCAGGACCACTGTCGATCGGAACTCCCACCTAGCCGTGTCAATTCAAGGGACTCTCCCTGGCATAAGGGCGTGTATGTTGTAAGTACCCGATCTGACATTTTCTCTTTTCGGTCAATCTGATGTTTCCCTTTTCGATTGACCTGATTTTTTCCTTCTTATTATTTGACCTATTTGGATCTGTTTGCTGCCTTTGCCTTTACCCTTCCTATATATTCAATCCATTCATCTGGGTTAAAAAGTTTCTTTATGTCTCTGATCAAATCCACCAAACCTCTCAAAACACAGCAATACATTAAAAAGATCATACACCATGATAAAGTGAGATTTATACCAGGGTCACAGGGATGGTTCACCATCTGTAAATCAAAGTGATACACCACATTAACAGAATGAGGAATAAAAACCACATGATTATCTCAATAGATGCAGAGAAAGCATTTGACAAGATCCAATATCCATTTATGATAAAAACTGAATAAAATGAGGTACTGAAGGAAAATACTTCAACATAATAAAGGCCATATATGACAAACCCACAGCCAACAACATACTCAATGGGGAAAAACTGAAAGCCATCCCTCTGAGAACAGGAACAAGACAAGGGTGCCCACTCTCACCACTTCTATTCAACATAATACTGGAGGTTTGGGCCAGAGCAATTAGGCAAGAAAAAGAAACAAAAGGGATCCAAATTGGAAAGGAAGAAGTGAAACTCTCACTGTTTGCAGATGACATGATTCTATATATAGAAACCGTAAAGAATCCATCAGAAAACTATTAGAAATAATCAACAAATATAGCAAATTTGCAGGGTACAAAATCAACTTAAAAAGATCAGTTGTGTTTCTATACTCTAATAATGAGCTAGCAGAAAGAGAACTCAGGAATACAATCCCATTTATAATTGCAACAAAAAGAATAAAATATCTAGGAATAAATGTAACCAACGAGGCGAAAGATCTATACACCTCTATAAGAGATTATTGAAAGAAATCATCATAAATGAAATCATAAATCATCCAGACAGAAAGTCAACAAGGAAATAGCGGACTTAAAAGAAAAACTAGACCAGATGGACTTAATAGATATATATGGAACACTCCATCCAAAATCAACAGAATACACATTCTTCTCAGGTGCACATGGAACATTCTCAAAGATAGACTATATGTTGGGAAACAATGCAAGCCTCTATAAATTTAAGAAGATTGAAATCATATCAAGCATCTGTGGTAATGGTTGCACATATCTGTGAATATACTAAAACAACACTGAATTGTACACGTTAAAGGGGTGAATTTTTTGGTATGTGACTATATGTCAATAAAGCTGTTAAAAAAATAGAGAAATTCCTTTACCAGCATTAGAAACTGGGGAAGGTTATCAGCCACTAATCAGCCACAATCTACAATAAAGATATAATGGGCTTGAAGAAAGAAGTCACCCATAGCTTTGAAATAACAATACAACCAGAAGGCAAGTAGGGAAATTCCTGGTAAAACCCTGCAAACCCTTCCTAAGTCACAGGTATGGGCTCTGGAGGTGCAGAGGGCTTTACATGATGCTGTGCATCTGCTCTGCTGGGAACTCACAGAGTGGTATCTGGCCCTACTGGCTGCACTCAGAGAGGAGTGGATGTGGTGGAGTTTATCCTGGGCACTGATTTGCAGGGCAGAGTGGCATGCTCCCATTTCAGGCTAATTCTTGGCTACTCCTCCAAACATAGAGAAGAAATGCTGGAATGAGGCAAAGCTTCCTGCTGGGACTGCTTACAGCTCCCTCCCTCCTGATACACATTACAGGAAAGCTTAACTTTTCACTTCCTACTTCTATAGGAAGCTGTGTTTGAAGGATTTTGACGGGAACCTGTAACAATCTCTGAAAGGATGTTGTCTCCAATGCTACTTGATAACAAGCCATTGCTGGGGAAGGATTGATGTCTGTAAAGATAAGCAAATAGAGAAATTTCACCTATGAAAAACACTAGTCAAAAGAAAAGCAGATGAATTTGGAAATGAATTTATAAAACATGAACAGGAGAAAATTTTAGAAAATTCCCAATTTTCTGTTTTTAACAAGTTTGAAGAGGACTTTGGCAAGATTTATTGGAGATTAAAAACATGATCACTGAATCACACATTCCAGTGAAGGCAATCAACAGGTGAGAGAGAACCAAAAAAACAAAAAGGAAGATAAAACTGAGAAATTCTCCCAGAACTGAGAGGAAAAAGATTAAAAAAAGGGAAAATGATTAGAGGTTCCAGGGATAGAAAGTGGAAATATAATCTGTAGAAAGTAGAAATCCCAGAAGTGTGGAACAGTTGGAGTAGAAACAATAAATAAAGAAATAAAAGAAAGTTCTAAGCTAAATATGGAGACCCAAGCTCACATTAACTTGACCCTCATGTTAACATGATGAAATGGGAAGGCAGGAATTATCACTCCTTTTTTGAATAAAAAGGAATCTGAGCTGCAGAGAAATGGAGGGAGGTGCCCAGTTCCCACCCTGTGTGAAGTGCAGCTGGAACCTGACCCCTGACTTCCAGGGCAGTATTCTTGGTGTGTAGTCATGCTGGGGCACATGTGTCACTGAAGTTTTTTTATTTATTATTCTGCAGTAAATTTACCTGCCAATTAATTCAAATGAGGCTATGAAATAATAGGAATATATGATTATTAAGCTTTAAATTTGTAAGAAGGTTCTAACTTCAAGGGCCACAATCAGCCTTGAGGATTACTGCTGGAAGAGTGCTACTCTTACTGTTTACTGCCCCTCCCACAAGCCTCTAAATAATTCCATGACTTAATGAAGAGCTTATGTTAGAAATATTGTTTCCCTTGAAAACATTCTTTCAGTAGTTGTCAAACACCTTTTCATGATTTTGCTTACTGTGAATTTAAGATCACAACCATATCTGGAAAAGAATAAAAGTCCACTGCACGATGCGGTATAAGCACATACATTTGGCTAATGGAAAACAGTCATGTCCAGCAGCTAATCTGAGCGGCCAGCTCCCCCAGGACCAGCACCCAGTAGGCACTGAGTCAGATTCAGAGCTCAAGACCCAGGGCTGCCTCACAGCTGACTCTTTAGCATGGCATATGCCACACTTCAATGCTCCGAGCCCGACCACTACTCTCCATGTCATCTTTTGCTAGCCTCACTGGCTTTTCACAGGTCTTTAGCTCCAACAGGACCAAACTATGGACAGCCTTGAATACCAGTCCCATTTCCACTCCCCAAGTCTAGAGAAAGTACATATTTGACAGGTGTAGCTATTTTGTTGTTTCAACCCTGTCTAGGGCTTTACCCTTCTTTATCCTTCTTAAGCACCAGATTTGGCCTCTCCTTCCAGCCAGCTGGATCGTTTTAGACTGTAAGGTTGCCATCTAACATAATTTGCACCTGCTCAAGACCTGGGACCCAACATCTGTCCTTCCACCAGGAGCCGTTGAGCATTTTCAGCATGTCCAGCCCCTCCTGGATTAGGTCTAGGAAAGGCAGTGGCTGTGCATGGGGAGGCCTCATCCTGGCTATCATTGGGGCCCAGTTTCCTTCTGGTACAAAAGCTAGCCTTTTTATGGACAAATATGTGATGTGATGCTGTTTGCCATAGTTTTGGGAAAGGGACTCAGAGAGGCTGCCATAAAACTCAAGGAAGAGGCTGGTCCCTCAGAAGGGAAAACACTTAAGTTGCATCACTAGATGAGAGACAACTCTATGTGGTTATTTCTTCTGCAAGTTATATCCTATTACAAGGCCCAAGAGAAGGTCATTAGTTCTGCTCAAAATAAATGAATGGAGCCAGGTTTGGGGATTCAATAATGGAATCTTCCCCCAGCCAAGAATTCCCTTTCTCTGGGTGCTAATTGAAGGGATAAGAGACAATGGTTTATTTCTCTCACCTTCAAATCTACTTCTGCCACCAAGTAAATACAGCAGTCTACAACACTCTTACATCTTGTCCTTCTTTCCAGGACACCAGCGTATAAAACAAAAGAGAGAGGCATATCACTCACCAGTGTCAGGTAGGTACTCTGGCCAGCACAGGTGGTTCAGTCCAGTCGGAGCACTGTGGGAGAAGGGATGGCTTCTTCTAGGGAAATTCAAAGACTCTGGAGAGGTAACAGTCATCTTCCTCCAACACTGGGAGAGGAGGAAAGAGGCAGAGAGTAAATGAAGAAATGAGATGACATGCAACATCCTAATTTTTAATTGTCCAGGACCTTTGCTGTGAGCAGAGCACACAGCCACAATGCACACAGCTCTAGGAGGTGTCCTTCACCGTGAAATCCATGAGGGAAAACAAAGCTTCTCCTGGAGCCAGTAGTCTGTAACCTGTGTGGCCATATGTGGCAACCACGGCAGAATAGGTTGTCATTCACAGTGTGAAATGAGGCCTGCTGAGGTCTCCAAACCACTGGATCTCTCCCAGGTGGTCAGCCACACAGCCTGACATTTCTCCAAAAGCAAAACTGTTATAGTTTGAGCTAAGGCATATTCTTTTAGGAGTACTTAAAATGCAACTCATCAAGTCCCTGACTCATAGGGTCATAGTGATGAGACAGACTTTACCCTTTAGACAGTAAGGACCAGTGTTGTATGGATCTTGGGAAGGCAAGGGATATTATCCCTTTCTTTATCATCCCACTGTCCAGAGATAAACTTGGCCCCTCCCAGTTTTGTCTATTTTATAAGGTCATTGTATTAACCTAAAAGTTGTGGTATGCATTCAAATAAATGTTTGTTCCCTTTCCTTTTCTTTTGTATCCTTCATACTATTAAGTAATAGTGCTTAGAAAATTCTTTTAGTGATTTCTGGAAACATAAATATACTTAAGATGGAGTAGCATACTCCAACCCATCTCTTCCATTTGAATGCAACTAAAAACCTTGGACAGATGTATAGATCAGTTATCTGAAGACTCTGAAAGTAAATGGTAACAGGTCATTTGGGGAAGGAAACCAGAATTTGAAGTTACACTGATCCTGTGGTAAGTTTCCTGTTTTGTTGTTCCTGTGGTATCCCCTGGCCTGAACTCAACAGCAGCTTGAAACTGGGTGTGAACAAAAAGCACTCCAAAAGAACCCCTCTCTGGTCTGAAGAGAGGGAAAAGGGGCCCCTACAGGTATGAACAAATGGGGGAGATCCTCTATGTTGTTTCCTCCCCCCAAGACTCCCAGGAAATCCCATTGTAGTATGGCAGTGATGGCCAGGCAGGCAGCTAAAACTCTGAGGGAGGGGAATCCTCTATGACCAGAGGAACTGTGGCACCAAGAGCATGGGGGGAAAATCTCTGTTTTTTTTTCCTCTCTCTGCCTCCTGCCACTTGGCTCCAGAGGCAGAAGCAGTTGCAGGAAGTGTATGGGAGAGTGGGAAAATGAAACCTCAGCTTTCTAGCAAAAAGATCAGGAAGAGGGAGCTCCTGGAAACCAGGAAGTGTCTGGAAACATGCAGAGAGGAGGGAGCTAAAGAAAATGATCCCATAAAATTGTCTATGAACTCCTGGACTTGTGCCCAAACTATCCATGGGTGGATTTGACCCTAAACAGAATACTAAAGTCTTGGAGAATAGAACTATGAGGTAGAACATTTTATAGGTCCCAGACTGTCTACTGGGTGATCCACATTATCCAAATAACACTGAAAACACCTTGAAAACTGAACTGACATAAGGAACATAGTCTCTGAAGGCCAATCAGAACTTGTAGCCTAAACTAGATCTGTTTCCTGAACAACTTAATAGTCTTAAAAACTTATTAGAATAATCTCCATAGGAACTAAACAAGGCCCAGAGTCTCATAATATTCAAAATGTCTAAGATGCAATCCAAAAACTACTTGATATACCAATAACTATGAAAATCTCAATAACTTGTAAGGGAAAAGACAAGATATCTCAATACCAAGATGACACAGTTGTTGGAATTATCAAATACTTTAAAGCAGCTTATATAATCATGATCTAAGAAGTAAGGGTGAACACTCTTGAAATGAATGGAAAATGACAGCAGGGAAATAGATGCAAAAAAGAATGAAATGGAAATACTAGAACTGAAAAATGTAATCACAAATAATAAATTCTTTGGCACAGTTCAATCACAAGATGAGATGATAGAGGAAAGAATCAGTAAACTTCTAAATAGCTCAATAGAAATTACCCAATCTGAAGAACAGAGAGAAAAAAAGATTGGAAAAAATAAACAGAGCCTCAGGGACCTGTGGGACAACAACAAAGGCCTAACATTCTGACATCAGAGTAGCAGAAGGTGAAGAGAAACTGTGGTGCAGAACAATATCAAGAAATAATTTCTGAAAAGATCCCAAATATGGTAAAAAACCTTAACTTACAGAACAAGAAACTCAGCAAACTTCAAACAGGGAAACCCAAGGAAATCAAGGCCCAAAACATCATAATTAAACTACTGAAAACTAGAGACAATGAAAAAATCTTGAAAGCATCCATACACTATCCAGATCATATTAAAGGGAACAATCATTTAAATGAGTACAGATTTTTCATCAATGCCAGAAAAAAGTGGAACAATATTTTTAAAATGCTGAACCAACTGGCAACCCAGAATTCTATATCCAGCAAAAAATACTATAGGAAAGAAGGTGAAATAAATATATCTTTGCATGAATAAAGCTAAGAGAATTCATAGCCAGCAAACCTGCTCTAAAGAAACTTTAAAGGAAGATCTTCCTAGAAAAGGGAAACGATACCAGAGGGAAACTTCACACTTCAGGAATTGAAGGAAGAGCAACAGAAATGGTAAATACAACAGACTGTTATTCTCCCTAAGTTCTTTCAAGTATGACCCTGAAAAGCAAAAATTATAATACTGTCTGAGAGGTGTTCAATATACGTAGATGACATGTGACAACTACAGCATAAAGGGGGAGATTAATGGGACCGATATGGTGGAAGATTTCTACATTCCACTCGAAGTGGTAAACATTAATTCTAAGTAGAGTGTGAAAAGTTAAGGATATATGCTAATCCCTAGAGTGAGTATTAAAAAAATACACAAAGAAAAATAGTTTAAAAAACTCAATGGATAAGTTAAATTGAAAACTAAAAAATATCTAAGTAATCCAAAAGAAGACAGTAAAAGGAAACAGAGCAATGAAAATCAGAAGAAGAAACAGAGAACATGGTAGATCTAAATCCAAACACATCCATAATTACATTAAATGTAAATACTCAGAACACATAATTAAAAGATTTTCAAAATGGATTAATGAAAAAAAAAACACCCCTTATAATATGCTATCACAAGAAACCCACTTTCAAAATAATGACAAAGGTAGATAAAAAGTAAAAGGATGGAAAAACATACACCACACAGACACTAATCTAAAGGAAATTTGAGTGGTTATATTAATATCAGACAAAACAGACTTCAGAGTAAGGAAAATTACCAGGGATACAGAGGTATATTACCTAACAACAGGCTGAATTCACCAAGAAGACATAACAGTCCTAAATGTGTATGCACCTAACCACAGACCTTCAAAATATATGAAGCAAAAACTGATACAATTTAAAGGAGAAATGGAAAATCCACAATTATGTTTGGATACTTCAACACTTCTATCTCAGTAATCAATCGAACAAATGAACAGAAACATAGCAAGGGAATAGAGGAAGTGAACAACACCATCAACTAACTGGAATTAACTGACATTTGTAGAATAGTCCACCCAACAATAGCAGAATACACATTGTTTTCAAGTGCGCATGGAATATTCACCAAGAGAGACCGTATCCTTGGTGATGATAACAACAACAACAACTTAAATTTAAAAAGATTGAAATCATACAAAGTATGCTTCTCTGACCATAATGGAATTAAATTAGAAATCAGAAATAGAAAGGTAATTGGGAAGTCTCCACCTACTTAGAAATTAAGCAGCACACTTGGAAGTAATCTATGGTAGTGGATTGTTCTGAGAACAGTGATCTAGTGTTCTGATTCCTTCAACATATGCTCTATTATTCCTGGTGTTCTGACTCTTTCAAGCTACACCGTATTATTCTTTGTCATGCTCTTTTGGTAATCGTACTTGTAATATTTCTTTTTATGTTTAGAAGAAACTACCAGACCATTATTTGACTCAACCAGTATATAATCTCCATTTCCTATTAAATTATCAGAATTCTCTCTTATGCCCTGAAACTTTTTACAATCATAGAATCTGAGATTTGGAATTCTCTAGAAATCTACTTTAATCTTGGTTTAGGAGGAACTGGACCCTGTATATACATGCATTCATGCAGTCCAAAATAACATCTGCTTTTAAAAAAATAGCCATGTAAGCTAGTGACTATATCATTTTCATAAAACTTTTTATTGTCATCTCTCACATAGATTACTAAATCTTCTCTCCTTGCTCCATACCATATTTGTCTTGTCACTTCCCTGTTAAAGGCTTTAAGCCCTAAAAGGCTGCCCATTGCTTATAGGATAAAGTCAAGATTTATTGACATTGGGCCGAATTCTCACATATTGTTTTCTGACAACTGCAATGACTTGTTATCTGCCTCTCTACCACCAAGCACCTACCACTCACTACTCACTACTCACTACTCCCTTGATACTCCATGAATTCCATACTACCATGCCCTTGATCTTGCTAGTCCCTCTACTTGAAATGCCCTTCCCTGGTGAAATTTTATCCATTCTTCAGGGAAGTATCTCCTTCTCTGCAAAGTCTTCCCCATGCTCCCTCTACACAGAATTACCCACACCTCTTCTCTTATTAACAGTGTTTTGTTGGTATCACTACAGCACCTGTGTTGCAGTATAGTTACTGTACCGTTTTATGTATATTGAATTACAATATATATTTTATTATTGTGTTGTCCCTCTAGCTAGACTGTAAGCTCCTTGAGGAAAGTGACTGTTTTCATCTTTTATCCCTCCCATAGGCTTTAGTCAAGCTCATTTTTCAGGGAGGGGCTGATATAGAGGAAGGGAAAGGACCTAGGTTTCATTTAGCCCTTTCTGTGTGTCTTGTATGTACTGTACAGTTTGTTCATCGTTTCTCATTTAATTCCCACAACAACCCAAGAAGGTAGAAAGTTATTAACATCTCCATTTTACAGATGAGGAAACTGAGCTTAGAGAGGTTAAGTAACC